CATCATGTTTCTTAAACTGACATTGGAACAAAGCTCAGGAAAAAAGTGGTTGGGAAGGGGGGGAAAGTGTGGAGAGAACTGGGGGGGACACACAATTGAACGAACGGACACATATGAATGAACAGGTATAGGTGTGTGTGATTGAAATGAGTGAGAAGTGGTGTGGCATTGTTTCTCTTCGCATTTGAAGTATTCCAGAAGGATCCAATCTTTGCCACCTGCCTATTTGCAATAAATTATAGTACGCTAATAGGGATCGCAGAGTTCTTTGGCTGTTCCAGAAACTCTCCCTTATCCTTCCTTTGGGGCAGTACTGTTTAAACATTAAGCACAGGGGACGGTGTTTGATCAAGTCACATCGGATCTTCATTTCTTCCTCCTCCTCCTCCTCTTCTCTCTGCCGAATCCCCCAGAAGCAACAGTGAAACTTGCAAGCCATTCTACTCTACTGCACATCTTCCAAGAGATACCATTATTACAGTCAGTCTCACCCATGATTATTTAAGCTACATACAGGCAAATGGGAAAAAGGCACCCTTGTTATGTAAACTTAATTTCCCCATTATTTGAACTGGTAAACAGATAGGTAGGGATATATTGTCGAAAGATTTCATGGCTGGAATCAAGCTGATGTGAGTTTTCCAGGGTGTATGGCCATGTTCCAGAAGCATTCCCTCCTGATGTTTCGCCCACATCTATGGCAGGCATCCTCAGAGGTTGTGACGTTTTTGGAAACTAGGCAAGTAAGGTTTATATATCTGTGAAATGTCCAGGGTGGTAGAAAGAACTCTTGTCTGCTTGAGGCAAGTATGAATGCTGCAATTGGCCACCTTGATTAGCATTTAATGGCCTAGCAGTTTCAAGGTCTGTCTTCTTACTGCTTGGGGGAATCCTTTGTTAGATAGGGAGAAAGCCCCATAAGTACATTTATATTCTTGTCTGCTTGAGGCAAGTATGAATGCTGCAATTGGCCACCTTGATTAGCTTTTAATGGCCTAGCAGTTTCAAGGTCTGGCTTCTTACTGCCTGGGGGAATCCTTTGTTGGATAGGGAGGAAGCCCCATAAGTACATTTATATTCTTGTCTGCTTTAGGCAAGTGTGAATACTGCAACTGGCCGCCCAGATTAGCATTTAATGGCCTAGCAGTTTCAATGTCTGGCTTCTTACTGCCTGGGGGAATCCTTTGTTGGATAGGGAGAAAGCCTCATAAGGGCATTTATATTCTTGTCTGCTTTAGGCAAGTATGAATGCTGCAACTGGCCACCTTGATTAGCATTTAATGGCCTAGCAGTTTCAAGGTCTGGCTTCTTACTGCCTGGGGGAATCCTTTGTTAGATAGGGAGGAAACCTCATAAGTACATTTGTATTCTTGTCTGCTTTAGGCAAGTGTGAATGCTGCAACTGGTCACTCTGGTTAGGATTTAATGGCCTAGCAGTTTCAAGGTCTGGCTTCTTACTGCCTTGGGGAATCCTTTGTTGGATAGAGAGGAAGCCTCATAAGTATATTTATATTCTTGACTCTGACATTTGGATGAAACTCACTTTCTTTCTCATCTCTTCCCCCCCCCCCCCTTCTCTAAAAATCATTTTAGGAAATCATTCTAGGAAATCATTTTTCAAGGGGAATGCCAGCATTCAATACAACTAACTATACATCATTAGAGCAAAAAAACCCTCCATAACTTAGCTCAAATATCTCTTTTATACTGCTGCAACATCAAGCATATTCTAGTTAAATCTCTATCTAACATGAGTGAGAGGTCAAACAAGTGGGATTATTATGTTCTCTGGTGCTCAACATGTTGCACAACCCCAGCCCAAGTGAACTTTCTTCCCCTACAAATAAATAAATAAAAACCCACACACCACCATGAAATGTAGACAGAATGAAATCCAACCCTTTCTCGGCATTTGTAGTCCAGCCTCAGAAGTTATCTCCAGGCATCTCTTCCCAGATCTTTCAGCCAGAGGCCATAAAACAATGTTGTGTGTTAATAAAAAATGGTAACAATAGTGCTGCTGTGAATTGTGGCACGAAGCACATTGTTTAAAGGATGGAGAGAACAGAGGCAAAGACCCCATTGGTTCAATCCAGGAGAGTTTCAGGCAAAGCAGGGATTTCTCATAACATTAATCGCTTGAGTCATTCCAGTTAGTTCTTGCAGAGCTCTTCAGGTACATCTATACTGCAGGACGAATGCAGGCTGACACCACTTTAACTGCCTAGGGCCAACTGCTATAGAATCTTGAGGGAGAACCCTTTAGCAGAGGAAGCTGAAGCCCTTGTAAAACTACAACTCCCAGGACTCCATAGATTTGAACCATGGCAGTTAAACGGCTGGCAAACTGCAATCTGCAGTCTAGATAAGTGTTTCTCAACCTGGAGATTGGGAACACGGGGGAAGTGGGTACGAGGAGTTGCCAAAGACCATCAGCAAACACAATATTTTCTGTTGGTCATTGGGGTTCTGTGTGGGAAGTTTGCCCCAGTTCTGTCATTTGTGGGGTTCAGAATGATCTTTGATTGCAGGGGAACTATACATCCCAGCAACAACTCCCAAATATCAAGGTCTATTTTCCCCAAACTCCACCAGTGTTTACATTTGGGCATATTGAGGGTTCGTGCCAAGTTTGGTCCAAATCCATCATTATTTGAATCCACAGTGCTCTCTGGATGTAAGTGAACTACAACTCCAAAACTCAAGGTCAATGCCCACCAAACCCTTCTAGTATTTTCTGTTGGTCATGGGAGTTCTGTATGCCAAGTTTGGTTCAATTCCATCATTGGTGGAGTTCAGAATGCTCTGATTGTAGGTTAACTATAAATCCCAGCAACTACAACTTCCAAATGACAAAATCAATCTTCCCTCAACCCCACCAGTATTCAAATATGGGAGAATCAGATATTTGTGCCAAATTTGGTCCAGTGAATGAAAATACATCCTGCATATCGGATATTTACATTACGATTCGTAACAGTAGCAACATTACAGTTATGAAGTAGCAACTAATTTATTTATTTACGACATTTATATGCAGCTCTTCTCATCCCAAAGATATATATTCATACAATATATTATATTATTAGCATAGTACAGTATCAGGATTTAATATTACTATATTGTACTGTACCATTATATTGTAATATTATTAGTAATATTATATGTAATATAAATATATAATTATAATATCATATTACTATTAGTATTATATTGCATTACATTATAATATTATAAATATTATAAGTATATACAATATATTACATTGCATTATATATTATTAGTAATATTACATGTAATATAAATATATAATATCATATTATTAGTGTTATCTTGCATTACATTATAATATTATAAATATTTTATGTATATACAATATATTATATTGCATTATATAATATTATTAGTAATATTACATGTAATATAAATATAATATGATATTATTAGTAGTATTATATTGCATTACATTATAATATTACAAATAGATGTATATACAATATATTATATTATTAGTAATATTGCATGTAATATAAATATATAATATCATATTATTATTAGTATTATCTTGCATTACATTATATTATAAATATTATAAGTATATACAATATATTACATTGCATTATATCATATTATTAGTAATATTATGTGTAATATAAATATATCATTATAATATCATGTTATTATTAGTATTATTTTGCATTACATTATAATATTATAAATATTATATGTACATACAACATATTATATTACATTACATTATATTGTATTATATTATAATAATGAAAATAATGCTATTGTTGGGGGTCACCACAACATGAGGACCTCTATTAAGGGGTCGTGGCATTAGGAAGGATGAGAATAACTGATCTAGATTGTAGGATGAAGGCAGGTTGACACCACTTTAACCCTCACAACCTCTGAGGATGCTTGCCATGGATGCAGGCGAAATGTCAGGAGAGAATGCTTCTAAAACATGGTCATATAGCCTGAAAAAACCTACCACAACTCACCACTTTAACTGCTTAGGGCCAACTGCTATAGAATCTTGGGAGAACACCCTTTAGCAGAGGAGGCTAAAGCCCTTGTAAAACTACAAATCCCAGAACTCTATAACATTGAACTATGGCATGTAAAGTGCTGTCAAACTGCATTCTATCTGCAGTCTGGATTTACCCAAAGTATCTAACTCTCTCTGTGCCTGTCAGTCCTGCTTAAACATCCTGGTCCAAGATTTTCCTCTTCTTCCCAAAGAGGAGGGAATATATCCCTGCTTGTCTCATAGAGTCATAGAGTTGGAAGAGACCTCATGGGCCATCCAGTCCAACCCCATTCTGCCAAGAAGCAGGAAAATTGCATTCAAAGCACCTCTGACAGAGGGCCATCCAGCCTCTGTTTAAAAGCTTCCAAAGAAGGAGCCTCCACCACACTCCAGGACAGAGAGTTCCACTGTTGAACGGTTCTCACAGTCAAGAAGTTCTTCTTAATGTTCAGATGGAATCTCCTTTCCTGTAGTTTGAAGCCATTGCTCCGTGTCCTAGTCTCCAGGGCAGCAGAAAACAAGCTTGCTCCCTCCTCCCTATGACTTCCTCTCACGAATTTATACATGGCTATCATGTCTCCTCTCATCCTTCTCTTCTTCAGGTTAAACGTGCCCAGCTCTTTAAGCCGCTCCTCATAGGGCTTGTTCTCCAGACCCTTGATCATTTGAGTCGCCCTCCTCTGCACACATTCCAGCTTCAACTGTGGTGCCCAGAATTGGACACAATATTCCAGATGTGGTCTAACCAAGGCAGAATAGAGCATGGGGAGCATGACTTCCCTTAAGCCGACTCCACACTTCCACATGGCTCTAGCTGGGATGCTGCTGCACACATACACGACCCAACATAGATGCATACACGTGAGCCATCCCGACATTTCTCCCCTCTCTGTAAAGTAGTCCTTCCTCTTCTCCCTGGCTCTAGCCTTGGGCATCTCTGGGCTGCCCTCTGCCCACTTACCTGCCCTTTGAGGCGGCCGCTTCAACCGTGCTCTCCTTCCTCTTCCTCGCTGGCTTGGGCTTCTCCTCTCCCTTCCCTCCGCCCGCTTTTCCAGGGTGCGAGAGGAAGATATAGAGGAAAGGGAATGGGAAGAGAGGAAGAGAGGAAGAGAGCTTGGCAAGCAGAGGAAGAGGCAGTGCGCAGGAGACGGGCAAAGCGTCCTGTGGGCACCAATGTCGCCTCCCGCCTGCCTTGCTCCTTCTCTCCTTGGCTGGGGCTGCTTGTGGCAGAGATGGAGCCCAGGACTGGCAGACTGGCAAGGGAGGGAAAAGGATGGGTGGTGTTGGGGGGGGGGGGTGTTGAGGTTGGAAGGAAGCTGCTGCTCTGGGAGAGAAAGGGAGACAAAGGCAGGAGCCGCCGCCGCGTGCCAGCAGCTTGCCCTTCGCCCGCAGCAAGAGAGCAAGCCAGCAAGCAGGCAGGGAGAGGAGAGGAGAATGGCTCAGCTGCCTATGTGGGTTACTCCCTCCCTTTCCTCTCTTTCCCTTGCTAGGGCTGCATCTACACTGTTGCATTAATGCAGTTAGACAGCACTTTCACTGCCATGGCTTCATGCCACGGATTCCTGGGAGTTGTAGCTTTATCTTGGGTGCCTCTCCAACCTAAAAATCCCCCCCCCCCTTGTTTTTTCCTTTCCTGTCAGGAGTGACTTGAGAAACTACAAGTTTATTTATTTATTTATTTACTTACTTTATTTGTATACCGCTCTTCTCAGCCCTTAGGCGACTCAGAGCGGTTTACAACAATTTAGGTAAAGGTAAAGGTAGTCCCCTGACATTAAGTCCAGTCATGTCTGACTCTGGGGTGTGGTGCTCATCTCCATTTCTAAGCCGAAGAGCCAGCGTTGTCCGCAGACACCTCCAAGGTCATGTGGCCGGCATGACTGCATGGAGCGCCGTTACCTTACCGCCGGAGCGGTACCTATTGATCTACTCACATTTGCATGTTTTCGAACTGCTAGGTTGGCAGAAGCTAGGGCTGACAGCGGAAGCTCACGCCGCTCCCCGGAATCGAACCTGCGACCTTTCGATCAACAAGCTCAGCAGCTCAGTGCTTTAACCCACTGCACCACCGGGGGCTCCAATTTAGGTATACACAATACAAAATCATTGAGCATTTAAAAGCAATAGCATCACAAATCATTAAACATCAATATCAATACATCACTACATCAATCTAACAAATCCATCAGGTCATAGAATCATAGAATCATAGAATCAAAGAGTTGGAAGAGACCTCATGGGCCATCCAGTCCAACCCCTGCCAAGAAGCAGGAATATTGCATTCAAAGCACCCCTGACAGATGGCCATCCAGCCTCTGTTTAAAAGCTTCCAAAGAAGGAGCCTCCACCACACTCCGGGGCAGAGAGTTCCACTGCTGAACGGCTCTCACAGTCAGGAAGTTCTTCCTCGTGTTCAGATGGAATCTCCTTCTCTTGTAGTTTGAAGCCATTGTTCCGCATCCTAGTCTCCAGGGAAGCAGAAAACAAGCTTGCTCCCTCCTCCCTGTGGCTTCCTCTCACATATTTATACATGGCTATCATATCTCCTCTCAGCCTTCTCTTCTTCAGGCTAAACATGCCCAGCTCTTTAAGCCGCTCCTCACAGGGCTTGTTCTCCAGACCATTGATCATTTTAGTCGCCCTCCTCTGGACACATTCCAGCTTGTCAATATCTCTCTTCAATTGTGGTGCCCAGAATTGGACATAATATTCCAGGTGTGGTCTAACCAAAGCAGAATAGAGGGGTAGCATTACTTCCCTAGATCTAGACACTATGCTCCTATTGATGCAGGCCAAAATCCCATTGGCTTTTTTTGCCGCCACATCACATTGTTGGCTCATGTTTAACTTGTTGTCCACAAGGACTCCAAGATCTTTTTCACACGTACTGCTCTCGAGCCAGGCGTCACCCATTCTGTATCTTTGCATTTCGTTTTTCCGACTGAGAGCGGTTTACAACAATTTAGATATACACAATACAAAATCATTGAGCATTTAAAAGCAATAGCATCACAAATCATTAAACATCAATATCAATACGTCACTACATCAATATAACAAATCCATCAGGTCTCATTAATGAAATCAGAATCCAAACTCGTTATCCGATATTCCATGTTCCGATAGTCAGTCAATCAATCACACTGCTTAGTCGAATGCCTGTTCAAACAGCAAGGTCTTTACTTTCCTCCGGAATGCCAGCAAGAAGGGGGTCGATCTAATATCTGCAGGAAGGGCGTTCCACAGCCGAGGGGCCACCACTGAGAAGGCCCTGTCTATCGTCCCCGCCAGGCGTGCTTGTGAAGCCGGCGGGATCGAGAGCAGGGCCTCCCCAGACAATCTTAATGTCCTAACTGGTTCATAGGACTCCTCCTATGTGCTGGCTTTAGCCTTTAAAGCCCTAAACGGTTCTGGCCCAACCTACGCGTTTGGACAGGTAGGTCGGGCCAGAACCGTTTAGGGCTTTAAAGGCTAAAGCCAGCACTTTGAATTGTGCCTGGTAGCAAATTGGCAGCCAGTGGAGCCGGCGCAGCAGTGGAGTGGTGTGCTTCCTGAGTGCCGCTCCTGTTAGCATCCTGGCTGCTGATCGTTGGACCATTTGAAGCTTCCGAGCAGTCTTCAGAGGCAACCCCATGTAGAGAGCGTTGCAGTAGTCTAAACAGGATGTGACTAGAGCATGGACTACCGTGGCTTCTGGTGTGAGAGAATCGGAGGTCTGCAAGCCAGCAAGCAGGCAAGGAGAGGAAAGGAGAGAAGAATGGCTCAGCTGCCTATTTATTTATTTACTAGCCGCCCCCTGCCACGCATTGCTGTGGCCCACATGGGGGTTCTGTGTGGGAGGTTTGGCCCAATTCTATCGTTGATGGGGTTCAGAATGCTCTGTGATTGTAGGGGAATTATAAATCCCAGCAACTGCAACTCCCAAATGTCAAGATTCTATTTTCCCCAAACTCCACTAGGGTTCACATTTGGGCATATGGAGTATTCATGTAGAGCAGTGGTTCCCAACCTGGGGTCCCCAGATGTTTTTGGCCTTCAACTCCCAGAAATCCTAACAGCTGGTAAACTGGCTGGGATTTCTGGGAGTTGTAGGCCAAAACACCTGGGGACCCACAGGTTGAGAACTACTGGCGTAGAGTTTGGTCCAGATCCACCATTGTTTGTGTCCACAGTGATCTCTGGATGTAGGCGAACTACAACTCCAAAACCAAAGGACACTGCCCACCAAACTCTTCCAGTATTTTCTGTTGGTCATGGGAGAACTGTGTGCCAAGTTTGGTTCAATTCAATCGTTGGTGTGGTTCAGAATGCTCTTTGAGTGTAGGTGAACTATAAATCCCAGCAACTACAACTCCCAAATGACAAAATCATTTTTTGAGTGATGGTCACTCCTTGGGTTAGTAGGTGTCTTGTGGCCAAAATTGACGGCAATTCATCCATTGGTTTTTGAGTTATGTTAATCCCACAAATGAACATTACATTTTTATTTATATAGATGAATGCAGCTGGCATCATTTTAACTGCCTTGGCTCAGTACTATGAAATGATCAGAGTTGGAGTTTTACAAGGCTTTAAGCATTTCCCATAAAAGATTGCTGATACCTCACCAAAGTACACATTTCAGGATTACAAAGCACTAAGCTATGGCAGTTAAAGTTGGGTCAAACTGCATTCATTCTACAATGTATCGGCAGCCTTGGACTCACCAAACGCTGAAAATGTCTTGAAAGGACACAGAATGCACAATATTTTGTCTAGTAGTTTTAACATCTAAACTAGATAAAGGCACAGACACCATGCTAGTGAAGGTCTAGCTTTCATCCATTTCTTCAGAAGTAAGCCCTGTTCAGCTCTCTATGGGGTTAACATGGATTCAGGTAAGCATGAATTCTCTATGGGGTAAGCATGGATTCAGGTAAGCTTTCTCTCTCTCAGGTAAGCATGGATTCAGTTGTTTTCAGAGATTAATCTGGACTGGCAGGGTGACCCTCCCAATATATATGTATCTGAAACTCAGAACAAAACAAATCTGGCAGTCTAAACAAAAATGTCACTGTAATGATCATTTTTGAATGGATATATAGCACAGATATGTTCCTAGGCACAGGGCACTGAGGCCCTTTCCACTCAGCCATATAACCCAGAATATCAAGGCAGAAAATCCCACAATATCTGCTTTGAACTGTCTTATCTGAGTCTACGCTGCCATATATTCCAGTTCAAAGCAGATAATGTGGAATTTTATTCAGCTGTGTGGAGGGGTTCTAAGACTGCTGTCAAATTTTTATTTACTTGGCAGGTGAGCTTCATGGAATGCAATGGAACTCACACCTGAATAGACATATAGAGGAGGAGACTAGGAGTATTTTTATATCGTTTGATTAGAAAGGAAATGGCTATGATTAAAATCCTGATACAGATTTACACTGGCATAAATAAAGCATTTGGTCTTCCTTGGGGTTGAGAATGAATGGCATCCTTTTCCACATTGCAAATGTCTTGTGAGGCCAATGTAAACCATTGCACTAATCTAGAAGAGCTACATAGGAGATTCAGTAAGTATGGATCTTAGCAGAAAGTAAGGAATTGGAGTAACTGTTGTGCATAGGAGAATGCACAAGCGTACTTCCTATTGGGTTGCTGTGCATTTTTCGGGTTGTATAGCCAAGTTTCAGAAGCATTCTCTCCTGACATTTCACCCACATCTGTAGCAGACATCCTCAGGGGTTGAGGTGTCTATTGGAAACAGAGAAGTCATTGAAATCCACAAACATGGACAATTTCAACAGAAAGGAGGAAATCATGAAAATGAACAAAATCTGGCTTCTAGTATTTTTTAAAAAAACTCTAAAGTCAGGGCAGTAAATAAAGAAGAACACCCAAAAAGCAGAGGAATTCCAGACAAGAACCAATCAGGGCCAGCTAACAACTCCCAACAAAGGATTCCCCCAGGCAGCAATGAGGCAGGCCTTGAAATTGCAAGGCCATTAAATACTAATCAAGGTGGAAGAAAGCAACAATCACATGTGCCTCTAGCAGACAAGAGTTCTTTCTCACACCCTGGACATTCCTCAGATTTATAAACCTCACTTAGTTTCCAACAAACCCTTCAACCTCTGTGGATGTCTGCCACAGGTATGGGCAAAATGTCAGGAGAGAATGCTCCTGGAACATGGCCATGCAGTCCAAAAAATGCACAGCAACCCAGTGATTCCGGCCATGAATGCCTTCACCAACACATTGTACTTCCTATTGTACAGTCAATAATGCAATAACGCAATTGAGCAATGTCATGTAGATATATATAATGTTAAACTACTAAGCCATTGAACAGGATTTGGTCCAAAGGATGCAGCTGGGTGGGGTGAGGAATGACCATGTTTCTGCTCAAAGACAAATTCTCAACCTTCCACTCAAAGAAAGTTTCCTTCAGTTCCCAAATTTCTA